TAAAGTCAAACGAGTTAAACGCGTTAGTAACGAATCGTTCGAATAGTAGTAGTCTCGCTCAGTGCGCATGCTCTGCGGTGATGACGTTTCGAACGAAACTCTAACGAAGTTCACGAAGGAAAGAGTTAGTTTACTTCGTTAAGAAAATGGCGCCCGACGATATCGATGTTTCTAAATCTACTCGAGTGTTTAAATTGTGAATTAAAAGATGAAATGATTGAAGTAACTGTCCACCCGAAGCAATCTAAGAAAAATATTTCGGATAAGGCTGTCGGATGTAAGCAACATTTGTATCTTCGATTTTAGAAACAGCCATTTAGTTATAAGCGAATCGTTCGAAAAGTCTAACGAAATAAGAATAACGATGACGTCATTCTCGTTTAACTCGTTCGACTTTACGAACGTGCCCTTTATTTTTAATTTTAGCCCTTATACCGTGGCTAGTTATATATATTCAATATGTACAGTAGTTATATATTCAAAATGTAATTGCGATGTTGAAAATTTATTTTAAAAAGTTTTGGCTCAAGACCGTATAATGAAAAAGAAAACATTATTAAAAGAGAAAGACCAATGCCTAAATCAAATATAAATACTTCAATTAAAAAATTTGTTCGACATTTTCAGGATAAAATTTATAAAGACATAAGGCTTTGTGGATGCATAGAAATGCAAAAATTGTTTTGTTGGCCTTGCCTACTATTTTCAAATAAAATTAGCGTGTGGAATAAGAATGGCTTTGACAATTTAAATAATTTGGATAAAGCTGGCAAAAGACACAAAAATCGTAAGTATCACAGCGATTCTTTCGTAAAATTGAAGCAATTTGGAAATCAGAGCAGAATAGAATTTTACATTAGTAAATAATATAAAATAAATATTAAAAATTATTACAAGATAATTACGGCTAATAGATATATTATATCTAAATTAGTAGATGTTATCGAAGAAGAATTGGCATNAATTACTAACTATACTAACTATAAGATCTCATATTTGCTTCTCTCAATATTAATTTATCTAACTCATGATTATTTTGCAAATCAGAATACTATGACTATTGAAAATAGTTATATAACAGTGAGCCAAAAGTATTAAATAGTTAAATGGAAAAATTCTTAAAAAGAAGATACAATAAAATTTAAAAAACAAAATTTGAAAGATATTAGATTTCCTTAAATAAAAGACTTATATAAAAGTGAAATAGTTTGAAAAAAGCATAACAGTTCTAGTGATGAAATAATTCACATCAGTGATATATGCCAAATACACTTCATCCTTTAAAAATAGTTCCAGTTCTTGCAAGAAACAATTTACTTGCAAATACTATGTAAACAACTTTCCTGGAAAAAAACAGTATAGTAATGACATTTACAGAATGCAATATACTTGTCTTATACTAAAAATTACCTAGAAAAAACTCAGAGAAAATTAAGTATAACCAATAAGAACACAAAACAGTTCTCAAAGTAACATATTAATATATTAAATCTTTCTATAGTCATTGCATTATATAACTTAATTATAATATCAAAAATAAAGAAAATATTTATTACAGGAAAACATCTTAAAATCAAATTACATAATAGGAATATAAATTTAAATACAAAAACAAAAAATCCTAATATTCTTTTTCCTCATAATTATATTGTATCAAACAATTACCATATTTTACAGCATGTAAAGAGAGTCTTTTATTTAAAAAAAGGCTGAAAAAATTACCCTGCATCTTTACAATCTCCCATAAGTTAATCTCCCATAGATCAATAATAAGTTACAATCTCCCACAGATCAATGAATTCCACTATATTTGTAAAAGCAGTCTTCAATAGGGTATGGTTAACCTCTGCCTAGCCCAACATTTGAATAAAAATGTTATTCAAGAGTTGAGCTAAGTAGCTTTTGCATGCATATTCATGTTAAATATTTTAATGGTAAATTTTAATTGTAATGACTTCTTTTAAACTTCCTCTTTTTCCCTGGTAAAAGAAAATGTGCATATTAATTTTACTTCTTTTTTTTTACTAGAATACATTTTAAAAAGTTTGGAGTCAAGTGCCAAAGATGCAATATATCTTAAATACACTAAGTACTTTTTCTTAAATATTCTATGCTGAAATGAGGGTATGTTCTATATGCTGTAAAATACAATAGATTAAATATTCTTTCAGGCAATGAAATCATACGGTAGAATAAAACAGGATTATGAGAGTTGCAGAAAATAAATTGAAAAACATGACAAATAATAATTTCTGAACAAAAACAATTTTATTGGTAAATTTAAAATTAGAATATATAACTTCACAACCATTTTCTTTGATTTATTATTTTTATTCTGTGATAAATGTACAGCTTTTATCAGGAACTCACAAAACAAAAATAGTTTAATACTTTCAAGACCTTTGTCCTGATCTTTAGAACTTGCATTTATGTTTAATTAAGTCTATTATTAACTTTTCTGAAGTTTATATTTGTTTATTTAAATGTAAATTCTGCATATAAAGACAAATATTCCTCAAAAATACTACACTATCTGTGACTTCTTGATATACTGTATATTACAGCATGTAAGACATACCTCCATTTTGGCACAGAATATTTAAGAAAAAAGTAAGTATTTAACCATAGCCAACCGAAGGCCATTTAGGGAATTTGTTATCCCACAGATCACAACTTCACATATAAGATGTATTATGTCCAATAACCTAACAAGATTTATTTAATTGTACAGAAATTTTATTTTTCCTCAAAAAATTTGCAAATTCAAATAATAATATCTTTAAAAACTTTTAAAATTATACCAAAAATTGTTTATTAAATAATCCAGAAACATTCAACAATGAACATAAGTATAAAATATATTAATTTTAAATGCGAAATGTATTAAAATACAAGCTTTAAAACAATACTGTGTCAATGATTACAATTTTTCCTGATTATATATACTTGAAATATTTTGAGATTATATTTATTTGAAAAATTGTTTAACATTAACCTCATGACTATCCTTACTTTCTCTATTGTAATGTCAGTACCGTAATTCCATACTTCTATATATATTGATGACATATAAAATTAGAGTAGGGAAAGTAAGGACAGTTCTGAGATTAATGTTAAACAATTTTTCAAATGTGTGTGTGTGTGTGTGTGTGTGTGTGTGTTTCTTTGTGTGCATGTGCATAATTATATTGAACATGATTGAAAATGTAATCATAACATGTTACAGAATTACATGACATACTTCGACATAAGAATACAAAAAAGGTTTATATGTATCACAATTGTAAAAACATGTGTATTTTTGATTATACCCAAGTCTAATTAAAAGCATTTTACAGTTAAATCAATAGAATTCTACGACAAAAATAAAAGTCGATTTAAATTACGGAAATGAAAGACAAAGCTTAATTAACACTTTATTAGGATTATTCATTTTGAATGTTTCAGTAATTTATATATTAAATAAAGATTTGACGTACAATTTTATTACACGACATAGGATAGGAGGAATAATAATAATCCGAATCAATATGGAAAAATATGTAAAGAAACTTGCCATTTCTTATTTCGTAATACACATAAATTTATCCAATGCGATAGAGTTTAATTGTTTTGTTTTTGTTTTTTTTTTTTATGTGGATTTTTAAATATGCAGTAATAAATGGCGTAGTTATATTTGTGACTATTTGCTGATACAAAACATTAAACAAATATGGTTTCTGGCAGAGTACGTTGGATAAGATACGGCCAATGCTAACGACGATAACAAAATCAAAACGAACGGTGGTAAACAACTATCGGTTGAATGTGGAATTAAAAAAACGTCGACTTGTATTTTATTTTAATTTTCACAATCATTTTTTTTATTTGATAATTTTGTCTTTTGTTTTTAAATTAGAAATTTTAAAGTAAAAGATGTAATTAATAAAATAAAAATATTAACCAGCGAATAATCTGAAGTTCGTTGCTACGAAATTAACTTTTATTTTGTAAAGAAATTTGTCAAAATTACCAAGTATAATTAATATTTTATTAATAATTGCATATTGTGTACGGATTGTAAAAGCATTTCGTGATAGTAAATAAGCCGAATAAATAAATACAAGCAGACTCGAAAAATATAAAATACAAATAGGTTAAGGATAGGACGTGTTATCTCATTTGGATTTCCTTTCTTTTGCATCTAACTTACACTCTAACTTGTAAGTGAAATTTTTGTGCGATTTATCCAGAAAGTGAATTTAATTCGATTGTTTGGATTGTCTAAATAACTATTAACTGAATTTAAGTTTTTGTTGCAACTAAATGAAGAGGTATACAAATCTTACTCAAATATTATTCAAATCGGCATTTTTTTTTAATATTCTTTCCGCTCTGTGGACATAGGACGGCCTCTTATAGCAGGCCCATTATGGATTCGGCCAGGCCCATAATGGGGCGACCGGGTGGTGAGAGACGGGGCCCGACGTATACGAATGGACCACTCCCCGAAAGGTTTCCTGGGGATTCCTTGACCCGTCCGGATTCGATCCCGGGTCCCCAGAGCGGTAGGCTGCCAACTTCACCGCTCGACCATCCGGCGTCTGAATCGGTATTTAACGCCATTCGGATTACAATGTGCTCGATGTTTACCTTCATCTTCAATACAGATACTTCAGTGGCGTAGCGTAGTATGAAATTTTGCCGCCTCCTAAAAGTGCCGCCTTTTAGGAGGCGGCAAAATTTCACAATAAATAATAACAATATTTGTAAAAATTTGAATCATTTCATCTCATATTTTTGTTGCACCTACGATTCGGACCGATTGAAATGAGCACGGAATTTTAGTCTTTTAAATTGAGATACCTAAATAAGGGGGCGGCGAAATTTTCCTCCGTCCCGGGTGGCTGACACCTACGCTACGCCACTGAGATACTTTTCAATTTTACTAGGACATCGCGCGACTTTGCTGTATCGCGATAGAATTGAGGTGGAGTCAGAGAGAAAGATGCGATTCTTATACTTGCAAGCCGTGGAAGAAAAGATCTTTGCACTTGCCAACACGGACATCCAAGAACAAAGCAATCGGCGTCGATTGATTTGTTCTTGTGTTTTGTTCGTTTTTCTTAAATTTTTGCCTTCTTTTTCCGAAGAATGGAATGAAATTTAGGAAGATGAAACAGAGTCGGCATTGCGCGCGAATAAGCGCGCAGTGTCGACTTTGTTTCTCTTCCTAAATTCCCTAGGCGGGCTGAATCGCGTCAGGGAACTTTGACATTGTCATTTTAACGCTACTGTATCTCGAAAACGAAATCATAGATCCCAATTTTGTATTAAATTTTTGGATTTCTCATCGCAATTAATGGAAAATGGCCATGATTTATCAAAATCGAGCAATAAAATTTTGAGAACGAACACAGTTCTGTAAGGCACTTAGAAAAGGCTTCGCTAATGCTCCGAAGAGGTCTCACATTAAATATATTCTTCAAATAATATGATCAGCAGTGGCGTGCCGTCTTTGGAAGCAATAGAAGCACCCTTCCCTTGTATTTTCTAAACCATAAAGACATATTGTGCGATTATTTTCATATTTTAACGTACTTTGAATTACAGTACACCCTCCTATAACAAGGTAGATACGTTCCGTGTTTTATGAAATTGATGTTCTACGAGTCCTTGAATACATGAGCCAATCACAGCCCAGCACGTGTGCAGTTAATTTGACTCAACATTTCCAAAACACGTATAATTTTTTGAGAATAATCCATATAAACTATGCTATAAACAAAAAATTGTATGATTACTTACCGAGTGTGCACCGCTCGACGACGCCATTGCTTAAGCTTGTTTTCGTCGTGGAGCGGCGCATCGAACGGCGGGCGCGTGTTTCCTGATAAATTATTTTTCTGCGAAAAATTTGCTGAACTTTGGAGACACCATTAATAAAAATATAATTTTTATGACCCTTAAATAATAAATGGTTTTCAGTAGGTCCGCTGCTCGTTTAAACTCAACGGTTTGTGCAATATCCGTTATTGGTCTAGATTCGACCAATCCTGTCGCGACACGAGTTGGCGATGACGTTTTACCGTATCATAGAGGGGATGCAGTCACGTCTTATAACGTCATCGCTCCGCTCAACAAAACAATCGTCCGCCATATTGGTTGCTGATTTCACGTTACCTCGTTTAATCACTGTTATATCAACGTGAGAGAAAGGAATTTTACCTGGCTTTGCAGCCGATTTGAAACGTAATAATTTGATAAAATGTAAAGAGAAAACTTATTTTATCGGATGGAATCCATACGAAATGAAACAAACGGATTTTTTATCCAACGATTTAATCACGTGGCCAACTAAAGAACGTAAATTATTACGTTTTAGCAACTAACGCTGTTACACTTGATCAGATGAAGGCATACAAATCGCTCGATGCTCATAATTACAGTATTTGACAAGCGGATTTATTCATCGTGATATTTTATTAAGAGCCGTTCGTAATAATTTAATTTTATTTGTAGGAAAGGTACGTATCTTCATGTGATACTTTCCATTACTCATAACTGCGTTAATATAAATCACTGAATAAAACAGAGAATGGGGGGTAACCAGGGATTCTTAAATGTGCATAAAAAGCAGAAATGGATTAACATACGTAATACATATTGTAATGATAAATACAGAATGTGAATATAGTAGAATGAGCTTATAATAAAAGCTACACACTGCAAATGAAAACATTAACTTACAGTACATAAAAAAAGGTAGACGTGGTATGGGTATTTTACACATGCTACTTTTAATATAGTTTAAAATACTCCTGTATTTAACAAAATAATAATAATTAATAGAACTTAAATGGAACTTTTTACATAGACCTATAATGGGAATCCGAAATTCCATGTACTATCGTTATTATTAATCGTTTCTTGAAGAGAATTTCTGTACAAGGTAGAATACAGACATGAGCAAATGCGGGTCCGAGAGCCGCATGCGGCTGTTTTTGAGTTACATGCGGCTCTTGCTGGAAGTGTTAATTCCTGCTTGTTATTATTATTTTTACAATTTTATTTCCACAATTTTGTGAAAATATGTTTATTAAAAAAATTCAATATTTGTTTTATATTATATTTATATTATATAATAAAATCGCGGTACAGAACTGCAGTACAGAATAAAAAATTACAGAACTGCAGCTCCCATGAATTTTGCAAAACCTACATTTCGTTTCTGAAATTTTGCTTTCCCACAACTGACATATACACACCTTAACAGGTGATAGCTCAATTGATGTTTTTT